CTTATCTTTATGGTGCTTTATTTACATTGACCAGGTTGATATAAATAACAATATAATTAAAACATGTTTCTGTAATTTTTAGATTCTGAATAAGAAGGCAACATCGTTAAAACAAACTCGATAGAATTAGATTCATATATATTTATTGCTAGTAAAATATATTATACAATCTTATGGCAATTTAAAACCCTAATTAGCGGCTGAAACGTAATACCGTACATTTGTGTCTATTTAACTGATGTCGCATTGTTTGTGAAGCGTTGATCTCCCTAACTGACAGGACGGTTGAAAGCTAGTCAATGTGGAATTCTATTACCTTAAGGTGAGCAGTAGTCTCATGAAGCGCTATACGACTTGGAGCCGTACACGCCATACACGGTGATACTTTGTATTTAATATTATGTCTAAATTTGAGGTTGTCTGGCTGCAAATGGCAATGCAATGTTTAAGCATCGCAAATATCGTTACCGTCGGACATGGTCTCACTATCAAAAGTTATTTTTTGGGTGATGTTACCACTCATTATCTTCGATTTGACGTACGTCCAAAATAATTATATAAGCATTAAATCTAATTTTATATTCAGAAAAGGTAATGAAATTTGAGTAACATTATTATTCCATCTCCCGTAATTTCGACCTTAGCATAGAAAATGTATTATAGTTCGCGTAATTATGATAAGTTTTCCATTTCTTATGATATTTGAGCATTTATTTACCAAGCTTAATAAGGGAACGCTTACACCACGGGGGATATTTACTTATATCATGTACAGTGCGTGATGGTATATTTAATTTTACCTTTTACCTCAACGTCGGACGTAGTACAAATTTTTTTGTTCCAGTCTACGAAGTCTGGTTCCTCTCTAATACTGTCAAAATCTGACCAAAAGAATTTTTTTTGTAAGGGACTATTACAAGCCCGAAAACAGCGAGCAGTGGCAGACTTCAGAGGACCATATGTCTAAACTAGCAAGAAAACTAAGCATTGTAGCCTATGCTGTAAAAAATAGCTGGATAGTATTGATATAGCTAGATTATTTTACTTCAGTTTTTTCCATACATTATTCAGGGTTATTTTTCAAAAAGTATCCAAAGTTATGTTTAAGAACAAATACAATATAAATAATGATATACCGTTATTGCAGTTTTTGAAATAAACGAGTAAATAACGATTCTACTTTTAGTTGAAATGATTCCAAATCTATATCAGTTACTCGTTAATAGTGTTACAAATCCTTTATTGATTTTTTATAAGTACCCGGATGACCGGAGTACATTTATATATAAATTACATACTGATGAAACATAAATAATATTTTTGATCATATTGACATATTAGAAAAAACTGAACTGGTTATTTGAATAAAAAATCATGAGTGCAATTAGCACTCCATTACGCGCGCCCCTGTTTGGGACGCGAGTGCTCGCGCGCTCTACATATGTAGAACTATTTTGTGTAAAGATTTTACAGGAACAATAAACAAATATAAAAATACTTCAATATCATATGAAAACAAACTTTAATAAGAAACTAAAATAGACGAAACATAACTGTTACCATTTATTAGGCACTTAATATCAGACTTTTTGTGAATTTTGAGAAAAATCAATGATTTTTTGGCATCAAACCTTCTCAGTCTCCTTTTTTTACTCGCTCATATCTTCCACACGGTCTTTATCTTTTTTACAACAGTCAAGGCATTGAAAAACTTGATGTTGAGGACGAATCTACTTTTTACAGGTGTCACATTGTTTTTCTAGCGGACTTATTGCGCGCTCTGCCACAAAAGGAACATTTCCCGACTCGACCAGTATTAGGGAGTTGTGCTGGGCATGGTTGTAATTCCGATGGCTCTTTCATGCCCAAAAGCATTTTCCCTTTCATTTTCAATGATTTTGGAATACTTTCAATATTTATTCTGCGTTGTATGCATGGCGCGACTAGGCGAAAACCAAGTTCATATAAAAAATCCTTCCTGGCCTTATTTCTGTAGTCCTTGTTTATTGTATGTACAATATAACCATTTATAGCACTTATATTCATTAAATTGAAAAAAATGGTAAGTGAGACGTCATAAATACTACAAATAATGTCCACGCCATATTTGGTATTATTGTAAAAAGTTAATATTTCCGGCTTACGTTTCTCTGCTGTTTGTAAATCGATATGATTATCATAGTGCATAGGTGAGTAAATAAGCACCACTTTCTTTGATTTTGGCATGTAAGATACTAAAGTACCTTGTTTTTGAAAGCCAAAAATTGAACTCGTTTCGCTTCTGTTTCTTGTGATTTTGAATTCTTTGGGAATTTGTGGCTTATTTTTCTTCACAGTGCCTACGACAGTAATTTTGCTACCTAAGAGTTCTAAGCATTGAGGTATATTCGTGGATCAATTGTGCATTGTGACGTTATAACCTAAACCATCCAATGGGGTAAGTATTCGTTGCACAATGTCCACAACTTTATTTGATTGTGCATAAGGACCATCTGGCTAAACACCTGCGTATATTTCCATATGGTAGGCATAAGGTACCTTTGTATCCGTTAGTAAAAATATATGTATCCCATACTTTGCTGGTTGCTTCATCAGTTATAACTTCTTCCAGCCATCTCAAAGTATGTGCCTTCATTGTGCGAAATATAGTTACTTCGGTTAAAAATAATATTATCAAACAAAAAAATTCATAATAACAATATTAATACATAATAAAAACACTTACATAAAATAAAAACGATAGGTAAACTTCCGACAAAAATGACACGCGAGTGCTCGCGCGCTCTACTATTGCAGAATTTTAGTTTTGGTGCGAAATTTCTAACAAGTGCGATCGCGCAGTTTGCCGAAAGGGTACTAATTGTGATCACCAGCTAGTAATAGAGGAATACTATGAGTGTGTGCGTTAGACACCCACAATTAATGTTAAAATCCCACGAAATGCATGCCTGCCAATTTTTTTTTCAAAGTTACAAAATCATTGCGTTTACAAAATGTTATTGACAAAAAATTTATATAATACGTTTAAATGTGTATTTATCTGTCTACTATAAGTTACTACAAACTGCTTTAGTATTGGTAAAGAATTTTGTATATGTGTAATTTACTAATGTGAAAGTCGATATGATATCCTACATCGTATGATAAATTGCTCTTTGTTCTTTTGTATAAAGAGAAAAGTTTTGTGTTTATTGCGGAATACATGAAAATTATTTTATGTTAAGTAAGTTACCGTGTGCGTGACCGTAATATTTGAAAGCAAATGATTTAGCAATGAATTGTTTTCTAATACAATAAACGTTCCCGTGAAATCATCAGAGAACTTATTGATTTACTTCCAGGGTACACCACCAAACCATGTTTCTCTTCGCCGCTCTCAGAAAATGTGTCAGAAGACGATCGCAGTACTATCATATATCTCGAATTACAGGATGCCCTTAATGTGGTAGAACTACGCTGAATTAAAAAATGGGTCGACTTGACGGAATGGGACAATACTTTTACAGAATACTAACGTAAAATAGCAGCTGTATGCTGCTGCGTTTCGTAGGGTATGCGCAGTAAATCGGAGATTCATTTTACATTACATTACATTAAACCAGGAGACTCACACAGAGACCTTTTTAAAGAAATAGACATCTTAGTTTTAATTCACAGTTCATTTAAGACGTTACTATTTAGTAAGAAACTATTTTAATAAATTGTGAGTTTCTTGCCGCTTCTTTTCACTTGGTCTCATCGCAATAGGGACTCGTTGAAGCAATGGTGTAGTATTTGTCTTTCAAAACGTGCTCTGTTAAAGACAAATTTGAATAAAAATATTTGACTTTCACAGGTAACGATGTATTTTACTTAGTCCTTAGAAACTAACAACGCATTTAAATTTTATTTCTTAATCTATGTAATAATAATGATAATATTCTCCAGACTGGATTTCGGTCTCAGCAGCCAGCCTCAACTGAGTCTAGCCATCGGTACAGGATAGAATTATAGTGCCCAAGTGTTTCCCTTACTCTCATGGTCCGATGGGACGGTAACCAAAACAAGCATAGAGAGATCAGGCGCAGAACCAACGGCTTTACGTGCTTTTTGAGTCATGCCTCAGGGTGAGACACTACCAACTTCCTTACTCCGGGCAGCTTTTGAGAAGTTCTTGATGGAAAACTTAATAATTTAACAACTTTAATAACTCAATAACAGATATCTTTGGCCCGACCCGTAATTCTTACCCGGGACTTCATGGTCGCAGTCTTATTACTATAACCACTAGACCAACGAGGCAGTCAGTGGTGTACTGTGAGCTCGTTGGTCACCCTTATATTATGAAAAAAAATCTATCATCCGTTAAAATATATATATATATATATATATGTGATATATAAATCAGACCAAAAATTAATATTCAAAAACTGAAGGTAGCCGGGCTAACAATGACATTGGGACGTCAAACACCTCAGTCCGTGACCATGGGTGGTGTAAAGCACCCGAAACGTCGGGAATTAAAAATAAGTAAAAGTTAAACGCGATAGAATGCGTCAATTTAGTTTTATTCAATATTTATTTTATTATTTTGCATTAAACGGCATTTACAATACATATTAAGCAGGGATGGTAAGCAAATGGCACACATGTCATCGAGGGCACGCGACACAATATTTTGGGCACGCCACTGATCACAAAGTTAACTATGAAATATAATATTATAACCGAACGCGATTGATTCTAGTTACATCGTGAACTACTATTACTAATAGCGCATAATAATAATGATAATAATGCGGCGCCAAAAAGGACTCCGTTCTTTTTGGCGCCGCAGTGGCAGCTTGCCGTATTATTGGCGCCAAACTTCCCATGGCTGGACGCGCTACTAAACAAAGTAGCGCCATCCCAGCCTGGAGAAAAAAATTGAGGACCGTATCGCAAAGGCAAAGGCCCTTATCGGCAGACTAACAAGCTTCAGGTCGGGTAATAATAGACCGAGGGTTGTGCGCACCGTTAGAATGGCGTTTGCTGTGACAAATATCAGTTTGTTCCAGCCGGATATCACGCAGAGACTAACTGAGGGCATAGATGACCTGAAGCAAAAGATCACTGCTTGGGGAAAGCGGATTCGACGATTTACCGAGAGTTCAAGGTGGTTCAACCAGAATCGTCTCTTCCAAAGTGATCAGAAGAGGTTCTATACATCATTGGAGCGACCAGAGGTAGGTGGAGCGGGCCCAGGACCGGATCAGGCTAACACTGCCGCATTTTGGCGTGGCCTGTGGTCAGAGCCCGTAAACCACAGCGTGGGACCTTGGACGGTAGTTGTGATGAGTCAGTGTACGAGTGTTACGCCCATTGACCCCGTCATTATAACGCCGGATGGCGTTGATGAGGCGATCCGTAGAGCCCCGAACTGGAAAAGTCCGGGACTCGAACACTACTGGCTGAAGGTGTTCGTAGTGTGTCACACTGTGTTCGCCCGACAGTTTCAAGAGGATCTCGATCAGAAGTCGCTCCCTATCCTCTTCACTACTGGGATCACTCACTTGGTTCCAAAAGATCGGGATACTACAGACTCGGGCAAATACCGCCCCATCACGTGCCTACCCACCATATATAAGACAGTGACATCCATTTTGAGCGCGAGAATCACTCGTCACTCGTCAAGTCCAATCTGGTTCTGCCTCTCTCTGAACCCTCTCAGTACCTTACTGGAGGGCTTCGGGAGGGGATTTCAGCTACGGAAAGGAAGGACAAAAGTGACCCACCTTTTCAATATGGTTGACCTCAAGTTACCTTCAGTCTTCCCCATCTTATAAAATTGCTAAACATCACATGTGAATTTAGCAATTCCATTGGAATGGAGCTGGGGACGGTAAGTGTGTGATCATCCATGCTGAAAGGGGAAGGGTTGCTAACTCTGAGAGCATAGACTTGTCTATGCCCGTCAACTTAAGGACCCTTTCCGAGGCTGAAACATACCAATACCTGGGTATGTCACAAAACATCGGTATCGATGAGACTGGTATGAAACAGTCAGTTTGCGACATGTTCTATGCACGCTTGATCAAAGTGATTAACAACCTTTTGTCCGGTGTGAAAATGACACACGCATATAATGGCTGGGTCATGCCTGTCCTTATGTATACCTTTGGCATACTCAGGTGGACTCAGACCAAACTTAACGCCCTGGATAGAAAAGTCCGCACTACTATGACGTCCCATAGGATGCATCATCCGATCGTCAGTAATGAGGCTGTACTTGCCGCGAAAGCATGGTGGGCGTGGTTTTCTGAGCGCGCTCACCAGGCATAATCGCGAAGTGTGCAGCTTCCGTCGTTACTTCCTGGCGAGATCGGATGATCCATTCTATAATGACGTCATTTCTAGTGATAAAGGGCTTACCCCTCTATCATTAGCCAACGAGCAATGGCAGCAGTGCTTAGCATTTCCGACAGAGAGACCTTATGGAAGGAGAAGGAGCTCCACAGGAGGTACTACAGGGCTACTACTACTACTACACTACTAGTAGTACTACATGAGCCCTTTGTAGATACAATCGCCTCCCTCAACTGGCTAAGTTTCGGTGATCTCTTCTGGGAAACCGAGGGTTTTGTCTGTGCATTACAGGATCAGGTTATTAAGACCAACATTTATCGGAGAAACATCCTAAAGGATGGCACCGTCGACGTCTGTCGAGATTGTCGCCATCGTCGTTGTCGGGGAGACACTTAGTCATGTCATCTCCAGTTGTTCGGCGCTTTCTAGCTCTGAGTACTTGCACAGGCACAACCTAGTAGCCAGAATTCTACACCAGGAGCTCGCTCTAAAATACGGTCTTGTGAACCGTAAATTGCCGTATTACAAGTATTTGCCGGAAGCGGTGCTCGAAAATGACCGCGCCAGGCTCTACTGGGACCAGGCCATCTTTACAGATAGGACTATTCTTGCGAATAAGACTGATATTGTGCTGATGGACGGGGCACAGTTAAGGATATTTTTGGTCGACATTACCATTCCGTATGACAAGAACCACATGAAAGCCAAAAAAGATAAGCGAACAAAGTATCTGGACCTGGCTCACGAGGTTACCGACATGTGGGAAAGGGAAAGACCCTTTCCTCGTAACCCTCGGCCGTTTGGTCTCCCCTGCCGAGGGCTTCCATCTGGTTGGATCTTATTTCTTTATGTATTTATTTTATTGATATTTATGTATATTTATCTTTTCATTTTAATTTATAATTATATATTTATAGAACCCAACCAGATGAGAAAACTATACGGATATCCAAAAATATTTATAATAAATAGGCGTAGGGAAGTGACGAGCCCATCACCCGCTGACGTAACGGTTATGTGACAAAACCGCTACGTCAGCGCAGTCAGTCAGCACCTTGCAAAGAGGTGTAAGTGCCGTGCCTCGGCAAAAATTGAAGGTGCAAAGGCCCACTTGTGCACATTGCCCCACCATGAAACGGCGCCGTGTCCCCAACACTATGGATGATGGAATACGGAAGAATGCGAAAAGGGCCGCTACCTGGAGGTCGCCAGGGCGCCTCTGGAGCTACCGCAGGTGTCGGCAGGGTCTTCGCGGGCCCAGCAATCGGTACCCGCCACTGATGGAGTACGCCACATGTGATGGACAATCAAAATGAATACCAACGCATTGTAGGCGTATTTTAGGGCGAAAGGGGGAGAAGTTGGAGGTTTGGCGTAGCGGGCTAGGATGCTTCGTCTTTTTGCTGAGCTGAAGCCATCTTTAACCGTCACATAGCAAAACCTGGCAGACCGAGTTCGGTATACCTTGCGCTCAAATATTTTTGATGTCACCGAACTCGAACGGATACGACGTGATGCTGTTCCCTCATCGGATGAAAATGCTACGGCTGAGGATGCGGCACTACAAATTGTAGAGCAACCCGCAAAGGTGGATGCCGACATGAATACCCCAGTTGTGGTTGATTCAAAGGATGATGGAACAATCGCGCAGGAACTGAAATTAGAGCATATGAGGAGTACATTGGAAGAGGCGATTGTGGAAATGCGCAGTACGCCTCTCGAAAATCGACCGCAACTTCCCCGCATAGCCCTAAGCAAGCGGAATCTGGCTGTCGTGAGGGCTCTGAACACAATGCTCATGACGTATTTGGAAGCCAGCTGGGACCCTTGCGAGACGAACTCAATTCTTTTTGGCGCTACACTGGCAGTATGCCGTATTATTGGCGCCAAACTTTCAATGGCTGAACGCGCTACTGGACAAAGTAGCGTTATCCCAGCCTGGAGAATAAGAATTGAAGAACGCATTGCAAAGGCTAGAGCCCTCATCGGCAGACTGATATGCTTCAGATGAGACAAAAACAGGCCAAGGATTGTGCGCACCGTCAGGATAGCATTTGCTCGGACAAATGTCAGTTTGTCCCAGTCGGATATAATGCAAAAAACTGACGGAGCGCATAGACGACCTGAAGCAGAGAATCGCTGCTTGGGGAAAGCGGATTCGGCGATATACCGAGAGATCGACGCGTTCAGCCAGATTCGTCTCTTCCAGAGTGATCAGAAGAGGCTCTATAAATCATTGAAGCAATCAATGGTAAGTGGAACGGGCCTAGCACCGAATCAGGCCGACACTGTCGCATTCTAGCGCGGCCTGTGATCAGAGCCCGTAAACAATAGCGTGGGCCCTTGGACGGAAGCTGTGGCGAGTCAGTGTGCGAGTGTTACGCCCATTAACCCCGTCATTATAACGCCGGATGGCGTAGATGAGGCGGTCCGTAGAGCCCCGAACTGGAAAAGTCCGGGACTCGAAGGCTTCATCACTACTGGATGAAGGGGTTCATGGTGTGTCACACTGTGCTCGCCCGACAGTTTCAAGATGCTCTCAACCAGAAGTCGCTCCCAAGACTCTTCACTACTGGGATCACCCATTTGGTTCCTAAAGACCAGGTTACCACAGACCCCAGCAAATACCGCCCCATCACGTGTCTACCGACCATATACAAGACACTAACATCCATTTTGAGCGCGAGAATCACTCGTCACCTGAACTTAATACAGGTGATGTCGCTTGCTCAAAATGGATGTCGGGGGGTGGTCGTGGAACCAAGGAACCACTCCTTATTGACGCGGTCATTGGCAAAATTCTCCGCCGCCTGGATAGACTACAGAAAGGCATTCGACTCGGTTCCTCATACATGGCTAAAGAGGGTCCTCGAGCGCTACAATATTGACTGTAAAGTTAGAGACTTCCTCGAGCAATGTATGGGGCAGTGGAGTACGATACTTTGTCATCTGGGTGAGCGAATGAAGCCACATAAGGATAAGAAGGGGTATCTTCCAGGGCGATTGTCTGAGTCCAATCTGGTTTTGCCTCTCTTTGAACCCTCTCAGTACATTACTAGAGGGCTCCGGGAGGGGAGTTCAGCTTTGGAAAGGAGGTACAAAAGTGACCCACCTTTTCTGTATGGGTGACCTCAAGTTACTCGCCTCCAGTCGTTCCCATCTTATGGAATAGCTAAATATCACGTGTGAATTTAGCAGTTCTAATGGAATGGAGCTAGAAACGGATAAGTGTGCGGTCCTCCATGTTGAAAGGGGAAGGGTTGCTAACTCTGAGGGCATAGACTTATCTATGCCCGTCAACTTAAGGACCCTTTCCGAGGCTGAAACATACCGATACCTGGGTATGTCACAGAATATCGGTATCGATGAGGCTGGTATGAAACAGTGTGTTTGTGACGTGTTTTATGCACGCTTGACCAAAGTGCTTAACAGCCTTTTATCCGGTGTAAATAAGACACAAGCATATAACGGTTGGGTCATGCCTTTACTCATGTATACCTTTGGAATACTTAGGTGGACTTGGACTGAACTTAATGCCCTGGATATAAAAATCCGCACTACTATGACGTCCCATAGGATGCATCTCCCGTGGCATACTTGCTGCGGAAATGTGGAAGGCGTGGCTTGTTAAGCGCGCTTACCATGCATAATCGCGAAGTGTGCAGCCTCCGTAACTATTTTCTGACGAGATCGGATGATCCATTCTATAGGGACGTCATTTGTTGTGATAAAGGGCTTACCCTTCTATCCTTGGCCAACGAGTAATAGCAAGAACTGGCAGTACAGAGGATTTTCGACCGGGAGACTCTATGGAAGGAGAAGGAACTCCACGGGAGGTTCTACAAGGCTCTACATGAACCTTTCGTAGACACAGTCGCCTCCCTTAACTGGCTACGTTTCGGTGACCTCTTCGGGGAAACCGAAGGTTTTGTCTGTGCGATATAGGTTCAGGTTATTAAGACCAACAACTATCGGAGATACATCCTAAAGGATGGCACCGTCGACATGTGTCGAGCTTGTCGCCATCCCGGTGAGTCACTTAGGCATGTCATCTCCGGTTGTTCAGCGCTTTCTAACTCTTAGTACTTGCACAGGCACATCCTAGTAGCCAGAATTCTACACCAGGAGCTCGCTCTGAAATACGGTCTCGTGGACCGGAAACTGCCGTATTACAAGTACTTGCCGGAAGCCGTGCTCGAAAATGGCCGCGCCAGGCTTTATTGGGACCGGGCCATCATCACAGTCAGGACTATTCTTGCGAATAAGCCTGATATTGTGCTGATGCACCGGGCACAGTCAAGGATATTTTTTGGTTTACATTACCATTCCTTATGACGAGAACCTCGTGAAAGCCGAAACAGATAAGCAAACAAAATCTGGACCTGGCTCACGAGGTGACCGACATGTGGGGTGGGCTTTCGACCGAAATTATACCTGTAGTCGTTTCTGCAAACGGGCTAATCCCAGTCAGCCTCTCGGGTCATCTTAGGCGACTGGCACTCCGTGACGGACTGCTCCGGGCTCAAATGCAGAAGGCGGTGCTCCTCGATACTGCCCGCATTGTCCGCCGTTTTCTTTCCCTTTTTCTCCTAACCCTCGGCCGTTTGGTCTCCCCTGCCGAGGGCCTCCATCTGGTTGACTATTTTATTTATGTATATTTTATGTATTTATTTTATTTTTTTGTTATTTATGTATATTTATCATTTTCGTTTGCAATTATATATTTATGGATTCTAACCATATGAGAAAACTAAATAAATAACCTAAGATAATAATAATGAGTTTATTTATTAAGATATCAATCCACTTATGTCTAGTACATTTTGCATCTAAAACATTGAACCACAAGAATTATACACATACAAAATATAAATTAAATTTTGTTATGTGTTAAAATATATTACTTAAAATAATTTTTCATAACCTATAGCGTCCAATGCATCCCCAACCAGTGTTTATAAAATATATTGTCAGCAGACACCTGAGCCATGACTTTAACTAATTCGTTTGTTAAATTACATACAGTTTCCCAGAAACTAGCCGTTCTACAACGTAACACATAGTTCATTTCATCATCATCATCATTAGAACCTTTCTCAATTCCACGCCTCCTCCAAGTAATGCAGTTCGTTTACGTATAGCATTATAGTAATAGTCAATTTCGATGACACAACTGTATTTATATTTTCATTTGTGTTATATTTAGGATTTTACAACCCCTATATAAATTTTTTGTCATATAATCTGCAGCAACAGAAGTTACACTAATGTTACTATAATTTGAATTGCGCGTATAACTGAAACATTTTGAATTTTTTCTCAACATCATCTGATTCGAAACAAACGTTTTGAATTGATAGTATTTATTACTATTACTTTCCCAATATTCATGACGTTATTTTTTTAAAGGCACGTCTATTAACTAATTAAACATTTTTAAGGTATTAAATTTTCTGACGTTCACCATATATAGCACTTCTACTTCTATAGCAGACTGCCTATTATTTGGGCTATCAAAATTAATAAAATAGAAAATGTTAACAATTTATTCGTTGACTGAACCTACTTTGTTACCAAACTCAGTTAACTGTATTGAGTTGAAAAGTTCTCAAGAAATTATGAAGCGTTAGCCGATTTGTTAAAATTCCTATCGGTTTTAAAATCACGTTGGTTCAAGTCATGGACCTGGTATTTTAATAATAATTGTAATTTTGATCCGATTTTTTATATCTTAGGCGGAAAGTAAATCCTAATGTGAATTGAGTTATCAACTTTTATTAATAAATATTTGACTACCGTATAAGTTACCCAAAATAGAAAGTTAAATGAACAACTATGTTTAATTATTACATTAAAACAACTAAATCTTCCATTATAAATAACGTGCTATTATTCTAGATAGTACTCCCACTTTGTTCCCTATTTCCATCTCCAAAAATATCCAGTATAATTACAGGCTTTGACGCATTCCATCTTAGTGCTTAGAGGTAAAAATGTATCTGTAGCTTACTTTGTATGAAGTCAATGGATTGCTACAGAAACCATCAGCTGGACTGCAAGTCACTACGTTTTTATATTGTAAGAAATAAATTATGATAAATGGAGTCAGTTATTCATCGCAGTACTTATACACGATTTTATAGTGAGAGAAACAAAACACTCTGATAAAGCCACAAATATTTGCCCTGTGATATATCCTTCACAAAGCTTTCCACGCTAATTGTGTGGCAAGTTCTAAACCAAACCAGTAGCGCTGGACTATTATCTTACTTTCCACGTTTTAGTTATTTAAAACTTAACTTTTTATTAATATATTACTACTAATCTATTGTGACGGCACATTATTATCCGTAATAAAAATAATTAAATTCTGTATAGCAATATAAAAATATCATAGATATATTTTTTCAACAATTAAAATTCATTAATAAGCATAAAGTTCAAATACATTCATTTTGAATCTTTAAAGTATAGGCTAAATATTAACTGAGTATTCGAAAAATCGGTTTCTGGTCCGTGCTTGCAACACACACAATGAACGATATAACCATATTGATATATTTAACTGCAAACTAAGTGGTTATATTTCATCTATTAAGCAAGTTGATCACGCTTAAGCGCAGTGTGTAGCTCTTGTTCTCTCTCTGAATATAAAATTACCTTTACTAACATTGCTATTAAGCATGCATTAAGTATGTTTTTCTCTTTGACAATCACAAATATGTACTTTATTTAATTATGTCTAAAGTTTTCGCAATGTAATTCTTATCGTTGCAAACTGTTCTGGCTAATATATTGTTAATATTTACCTTACATTCAAATGTAATATAAGAGCTGTAAGTTTCTTTGAATAAATAAATAAATAAAAATAAATAAATATTGACTTTAAAATTCATTAAAATTGAATAAAACTACATTTACGGATTCTATCGCGTTTATTTAACTGATATTACTTATTTTTAATTCCCGACGTTCCGTAAATTTAGTTTTATTCAATGTGTAGTGTTCGCA